TCATATAAAATATGTATAAGAGCCATTATTACAATGTTGCTTTTAAAAGATAAAAACATAAAAATATTCCTAAATGATTGCTAACAGGGGATGGCGAAATAAAGATTCATTTTATACATCTAGGGATCCCTGGGCAGCTCAGCAGTTTAGTGCCTTTGGCCCAGGGCATGATCCTAGAGTCCTGAGATCAAGTCCCACATCAGGCTCTCTGCATGGAGCCTGCTTCTCCCTCTACCTATGTCTCTGCCTCTCTCTTTGTGTGTCTCTCATGAATAAATAAATAAAATCTTTAAAAAAATTTTTTTAAAGATTCATTTATGCATCAAGACTACAGCACAGCTATACGTACTGATAGAGAAAGATATCCATAATCTATAGTTTAGCGAAAAAAGATTTGGGACAATATACATTAAATAATTGTGTTTATACATAAAAAGATTTACAAGGGCAGCCCCGGTGGCGCAGCGGTTTAGCGCCGCCTGCAGCCCAGGGCGTGATCCTGGAGACCCTGGATCAAGTCCCACATCAGGCTCTCTGTATGATGCCTGCTTCTCCCTCTGCCTGTGTCTCTGCCTCTCTCTGTCTCTGTCTCTATGAATAAATAAAATCTTAAAAAAAAAGATTTACAAGACGTATTGCTTAGTTCAAAGCATGCTGCATAGCAGTATATACTGAACAAATCCATTTAGATAAAAGAAATGCATGGACACAGAAAATTTCACTCTCAAATTTCTAAGAACCTAGTTAGTAATGGATGCTTCCAAGGAAAGGAACAGAAGGTATATAGGTAAGTAAGCAGAAACTTTGTTTTTTATTCTTTACCCTTTCATATTGTTTAAACTTTTTCCAGTAAGTATCTTCCAACTTAAAAAGAATAAAAGTACAAACATGAAAATAAAAAAGAACTGTTAAGCATAAAGTAATGACACAGAAAAGAAGTAAGGGGATGATGGATTAGCATGATTAGAATAGGTATAATTTCCATTTCTCTAACAGCTTTGATGAGTTCAAATTTTTGCAAATATAATAAATGATATGCTAATAAGCCCGAGGATAAAAACTGTTTACTCTTCATTTAGCAAAATAATAAACAGAGGCAGTAGGAAATAAACACTTATCTTCTATCACTAGCAATTTAGCAACTCACAACGAGATTGAAGGCTTTGGTCAGCTTTAATTTTGTGTGAACCAATTCACAGCATCCCTATCTGTTGCTATAGAAACAACTGTGACCAAAAAAATCATAACCCTTATTGTTGAATCTCCTTAAACAGGAAAAGAGGAAGGTCTTTTGAGGTGGTCAAAGCTACATATAATTTTATTAATTAGCAAATTTAATAATAAAGATTCTGTACAGTACTCAGAAAACATATCCGTATCTAAGTATCATACATTTACAGGCTTTCCTTGGTTTTGAAAGTACCACCAGCAAGCACTGTTCTGCTCTTGAAAGCCCTATTCTGTTCAGAATTTTATTTACTGCTTTTAGATCATTCTTTCATTTGTAGAAAGAGAATAAAGAGATTTCTATTTAAAGTTTTTAAAAGATATTTTTAAGCACCCTTCATCTGCCTAAGCAATCAACAGTATCACTTCTTTCTTTCTCATTCTGTATTAAGAACATGAGAATTTTAATGTAGATGTAATACATTTGGCAACAACAATTAGATTTCACTATTCAGCTTGGTAGGTGTTGTCTTCTGTCACAAAAGCAGATTTCTGAAGAGGACATATTGGGTTGCATCAAACGTTCCTGACAGTAATAAGAGGAGATGTTTGTCAATAGAATGATGGAATAGTGTCATGATATCGTAATGTATTGAAGAAGGAAAATCCAGCTTTAAACTTGTTTTGAAAGAAGGGCATCATTTTTTTACTAACTGATATAAGATGTTGAGTGTAAATCAGTTACAGTGGGTTCCTCTCAAGTAAGAAAAAACAATAATAATGAGAATTTGAAGACTGATACAAAAAAGCTAGGTGGCATTTTATGCCTTTGTTAAGTTCTAAAGCATGTAAGATGATTCAAGTCTATTTTCTTCCTTAGAAGCCAGCAGCAGCAAATAAAAATGATCTCAAATTTAAAAATAATTTTGACTTAATGTCATTATCTTTTAAATAATCTACATAATTTCAGTCTGTGGGCTATTATGCAATTAAGGAACAGTGACATTTTAATTTCATGTACTTTTCTAAGTTGCTATAAAATCAGGTAAATCCATACCTAACTGGGTTGGAGGGTGTGGTGGAAAGTGTTGGGAACAGAAGGTCAATAAATAATTCCAGCCACTCTCATAGGAACAGTGGTGGTGGCAGGGAACATTAAACAAGCCCTCCGAGCAGGAGGCCAAACAAACCTCTTTTATAAGAAGGAAGAGAAGGAAGTTAATGTCTACTATTCAATCATTTATTCATTAACAAAAATGTGGCAAATTAAGATTCAGTAGTGAATAAGACTAAAATGGTCTCTACTCTCAAGGAGCTTTCCTTCTAGAAGGAGAAACACATGTAAGACAGAAAGCAAATGAACAAATGAGAAAACTGCGTATAGCTGAGTGGAACAGATTTCCAGTCAAGATGGGTCTATAAGTTCACAATTTGGGGATATCTTCCTTCCTTACACAGAACCACGAAAGAGAAAATACAATTGTGAAAATTAAAGACAGAGGTCATGCTCAGAAACAAGATGAAAGCATGAAGAATAGAAACATAATAGTATCCAGAACATACAAAGAACTCTCAGAACTCAATGGTAGAGGCGCCTGGGTGGCTCAGCCGGTTAAGCATCTGCCTTTGGTTCTGATCATGATCTGGGGGTCCTGAGATCAAGCCTCATGCCAGGCTGCCTCCTCAGTGAGGAGCCTGCTTCTCCCTCTTCTTCTGCTCCTCCCTCCAGCTCATGCTCTCTCTCAAATAAATAAATAAATCTTAAAAGCAAACAAACAAACCTTCAGTGGTAATACACAGTCCAATTAGAAAATAGGCAAAAGGTCTGAACATGTAGTTCACCAAAGAGAGGTTATGATGCTACAAATGAATACATGAAAGGATGCTCATCATTAGCTATTTGGGAAACACAAATTAAAACCACAGTGAGAGACGCCTGGGTGGCTCAATGGTTGAGGATCTGCCTTGGGCTCAGGGCGTGATCCCAGGGTCCCAGGATCGAGTACTGCATCAGGCTCCCTACAGGGAGCCTGCTTCTCCCTCTGCCTGTGTCTCTCCCTCTCTCTGTATATCTCTCATGAATGAATGAATGAATGAATGAATAATCTTAAAAAAATAGAACCACAGTGAGATACTACTACAAACCTATTCGAATAGCTAAAATAAAAATGGTAATGCCAAAGTTAGTGAGGATGCAGAGAAACTGGATCTCTCATTACACTGCTGGTGGGAATGTGAAATGGTACAGGCCTAGAAAACAGTTTGACAATCTCTTACCAAATTTAGTATGCACTTACCACACACCCCAGCAATCACACTCTTAGATAGACATTTATCCCAGAGATAGGAAAACTTCACAACCTGAATGGTTCTCAAGAGTATTATGCTGAGTGAAAAAAAAACAAAAACTCAAACTATCTCAAAAGGTTATGTATTATCTGAATCTGTTCCTAGAAATACATTCTAGAAATAATAAAACTATAGAGATGGAGAAAAGATTAGTGGTTGTCAGGGGATGAGGCGGTTGAGGAAGAGACGGGGTGAATAACAGGACAGACCTCTTGTGTGTGGACGTAACAGTTTTGTATCTTGATTTTGGTGTGGTTACACAAACCTATACTTAGAATAAAACTGCATAGGAACCCTCCTCCACACACACACATAAATGCAGGTTATTTTTTTAAGATTTTATTTATTTATTCATGAGAGACACAGAGACAAGGCAGAAGGAAAAGCAGACACCTTGCAGGAGCCCGATGTGGGACTCAATGTGGGACTCGATTCCCGAACTCCAGGATCAAGCCCTGAACCAAAGGCAGATGCTCAACCACTGAGCCACCCAGATGTCCCTAAATGCAGGTTAAAAAACTGAATACTGAGTGGCAAAAAATTAAAGAGGAAGACAAACCATGAGAGACTCCTTACTCTGGGAAAAAAACAGGGTTGCAGAAGGCGGAGGTTGGCAGGGGGTAACTGGGTGATGGGCATGATGGACGGCCAATGATGAAATGAACACTGAGTGTTACACTGTATGTTGGCAAATTGAATTTAAATAAAATTTTAAAAAATAAAATAAGAGTAAGATTCTAAAAAAAAAAAATAAAACTGAATACTGAATTGAAAATTTAGAAGCTGAATAAGGTCTGTAGTGGGTCAGCAATAACATACTGACAGCCATCTCCTTGTTTCGATAGTGTATTATGATCACAGAAGATGCCAGCAGCTGGGAAGCTGGGTACTCCATACGTGGGACTCTGTACTATTTACTGCAGCTTCCTCCATATCTATCATTATTTCACAATAAAAGGTTTTTTTAGATGAGGAGAGAAAGATGGACTGTTCAGTAAATTAAATACTGTTTACTCACAGGAGTGCAAAGACCATAAGACCCCTATCTTATAGTAAAATTCTAGAGGGCACACAGATTTCATTTAGAAGAAAAAATAAGAGATCTTTATTATAGTAGGATAAAAAAAAATTCTTAAGTAAGATTTTTTAAAAGCAGCAGCTTTATATAACGAACACTTTGATCATTTAGCCTTATTCTTACTTAAAACTGTGTATAACGAAGACAACAGAAACAAATTTGAAAGACAAACAAGCACTGTTTCTCTTAGAACACAGGAAAGCTGGAAAGGACAAGGAAACAAATTCTCCCCTCAGGGCCTCCAGAGAGAAATGCAGCCTGCAGACACCTTGATGTTAACCCAGTGAGACCTATGTCAGGACTTCCAACCTACAAAACTGTAAAATAGCATACTTGTGCTGATTTAAGGCACTGGGCTGGTGGTAATTTGTTACAACGGCAACAGGAAATGGCTACAATGACTTACCTCTGTGGATTTCCAAGAATTAATCTTGACTGGTAGTGTTTCTTGGGACAACATGGTTCCACTAGGCAACTGAATGTCTTGGCACTGCTCTTGTTTCAATCCTGCCTTGGAAGCGTTTTCTGTCAACAACATAAAGCTAAGATTTCACTTTGGCAAAAAAGAGTAATGTTTTCATGTTAGCTCACAATTTTTAAGCTAATTACTTCTGAAAATCCATTTTGTCTGCCACATATACATCATCTGCCAACGGTCATTTTAATATTATGCCTTCATAATAATTGACAAATTCAGGCCGGTTTAAAAAATACAACTAATTCTAGCCTTTTCTCCCACCAACAATTTTATGCTTTATTATTTGAAACATTTTTTTTAAATAAGGTCACACATAGTGTAGAAAATAGAGTTTGAAAATTATCCTTAGCAAAGCAGGAATGACTAGAATTATTCTAATTAATATTTAAAAGAATGTTATTACTGCACTGTACATTTCATGTGTTCACATACATGACACATAGGCTATATGATGAGAAAGCACGTTTAAACAAAATTTAAAGAATCTTGAACAAAAGAAATTGCCAGTGATATTAAAGATATTTTTGCTTGTATGCTTTTACCGAATTTAATGGTTTTGTATCTGCCATTTTCCTTTCTTTTTTTCCCCCTGGGGCAGGCACAGGTCAGAGGGAAAGGGAGAGAGAGAATCCCAAGCAGGCTCCAAACCCAGTGTGGAGCCCATGGTGGGGTTTGATCTCAGGACCCTGAGATCATGACCTGGGCAGAAATAAGTCAGACGCTGAACGGACTGAGCCACCCGGGCCCCCCTCCTTCCTTTTATGATTGTGTAAACGAAGTATTATTGCCAACTACCTCTCAGCATATTGTTGGGAACAATAAGCGTAAGAGAGCTATCTTCAAACTGGTGTTTGTGCACCACTAGGGGTACTTAAAGACTTCCCAAGGGCTAGATGGGCATAGATAGTTTTAAAGGAATCAATGTCCAGACCCACCACTTACATATACATTCTTTCTAAAAAACTCATCTGTCTGGGTACGCGACTGTGTGGAAACATCAGACTAGTTCTTTCTTCCTCCCCTTTCATAATCTATTTCCTCCCACTTTACAAAGAAAGACCCATCCTCTACCCATCTTATGGGTGCATCTTCCTTTATGCTACGAGCATAAGAACCTCTAAATGCCAAACAGTAGTAAAGACTGGTATAGGGGAGCCTCCTTCAATCAAGGCAGGAAAAACCCAAAGTAAAGCTCTAAAATTTGTCCTGTTTTATGCATATTTTTTTAGTGGCAAAGTATGGCATAAGTAACAGGGTATTTTGGTCCATACTGGGATGTCTGGTATCCAGATACACTACAGTATGGAGGAGCAGGATGGTTGACAAGTTTCATTTAATGTCCTGTGCTTTTCATCCTCCAACTTGTCAAAGAATGTATCATTTCTGAGGAAAGTCCCACAAGGGGAAAGAAAGCAAGCACAAACATGGGAGGCAGGGCACCCTGTCTCATCAATGCAACAGACTTACATGACAAGGCTCCATGTCTTAGCCATCTCCCTTAGGAAAAGAATTCAGGAATGTGAGCACAACCACAGTGATGCTAGTTTACATGTTTTTTGAATAAATAAAGTAAGATGTTTTCCGAAAGAAAGTTTAAGTCTGATTTGGCTGACTGTTTGACAATAAGGGCTGGCTCTGCCAACTAGGTAATATGGTCACTATTTTCCAAAAATGGAATGAACCAAATTCTGTACTTTTGAAGAGTTGCTGAAATATATTTAAAGCATATGAAACTATAAAGTAATTATCTCAAAAATATTATATTGACAGGTATACCTCAATATTTTTTCCCCACTTTCTGAGTATATTGGGTTAAAGTGTAACTGGTATAATTAATAGTCACCTGATAATTTTTAGTAAAGGTTTTTTTTGATATTATTCCCAGTTGAGAAAGTCCATCATTCCTAAGGACTGTTTAACAAATCTTTTTCTAAGTGGGTTGTTTCCAAGTCTTGCTCTCAACAACACTGAAGACAGATCTAATCAACAGCTGACAAAAGATGAAAACAATTTTTATAATAAATTACTATATAATTCTGGAATACCTAAAAGGAATTCATAGAACTGACATTGTTATAATATAAAACCTTCTATTCCCACCTACGATTTTATGTGAACAAGTCTTCTCAGTATTTCCATCTATTAAAATGTAAAAAGAGAAACAGAATTTATGCTGAACCCTGCTTACTCTTCCAGCAATAAGTGATATTCATAGGTGGGTAAACAAACAGTTCCATGTATCTCATAGAAATATGTATTTCCTATAAAATTATATTCTTTATGTTTACTGAGTATTTATGAAAATTTGTAATACACTTATATAGTTTTGGTTTTGATCAATTGTGTGCTAAAATGATAAATCAATCTAGAAAGAATATTTTTCTCTTACTACTTAAAAGCCTCTGGTCCTAGAAAATGTAAAAAAAATAATTTCAATTTATATACAAAGTTGATGTAGAGAAGACTTTCAGGCATCAACATTCTATTAGGATGAAATCCTGCGAGGGATGTGGAATAGAAATACAACTTCAAGGAGAAAAGGGAATGACATAAAGCTTCCAATAGTTAAAGACTTCATGTGTTTTTTCCAAATGAATGGCGGAAGGTACCCATCACACGGTGTTGAGATTCCTTTAGATATGTTGAGAAGGCTCATGGAACTGTTTCATTTTGTTTTCTTTTGTCTTTAATGTCAATATTTTCAATTTTGTCCTTTGTAGTTACTTATGGTACAATTTCACATGTCAACTTAAAAATGCATTAGGAGGTATGTAATTTTTCAAAATCATTTTAGGGGCTATGCAAGAAAAATCGCTTGGAAACCAATGGTTTCAGACATGGTGGTCCTCACCTTCAGAAAGTTTACAGCCTGACTCGGGAGATAAGTCTGACATACAGAATTACGGGAAACAATTTGAGGAAAACAATACCATGCCAAACTTTCTTAAATTAATTAACTGAAGGAATAGACATTTTAAGGAGGAAAAAAAATCAGTGTGCATCAGAGTAATCAGAAAGTGTCTCAGATATGAAGTAAAATTCAAACGAGGCTTTGAAGGATGACTAGGATTCCTGTAAACATAGAATGAGAAACTATCCCAAGCAGAAAGAACTAGGTGGGCAAGAGGAGTATGATATTTGCCAAATTTACTGAAGAAAGAATAAGAACTTTGCAATTGCGGCTCTGAATTTTCATCTTCTTGTAACTTTACATGAAAATGAATAATTAAAAAAAAAGAAAATGAATAATTAAAATGAGCTTATTCGGAGCTGGAGATTTTATAATGAAAACTGGCAAACAGTAGTGGTTTGAAGCTTAGATTATCTATGTACTTTCATGTGATTCATTAGAAACTATATTATCACTCTCTGAGTATTCAGAAACAAAATTATCCTTGAAGTGATACGGACTTAGGTTTAGACATCATAAAGGTAGATTAATAACAATTGCAGGAAGTCAACATTGAAGTAAAGTGTGAGGAGAACTGAAGGATAGCAAGAACTGTGAAAGAAAAAAATACCTTAAATATTTAGACACACATTTTAGGTTAGAATAGCTACACTGTTCTAAACCTATATTAAATAATCTTCTAGGGGCAAGAAGGAAGGCAGTTAGAACATAGTGAGACTATGGGAAATTGAGAATTTTTTTTAGCACCAGCTCCAGCACTGGAAGTGAGGTGTGCTTAATTAAATTAGGCGATTACACAAGATTTATTTCTGGATTTTCACAAGCAAATGAAAGGAGAGAATACACATTTAGTTCCTTAGTGGAAATGAAGTCCCTTTGGTATCATAAGCTATTTATCAGTTGAGATGGTGAAGTCACAAGCCTGGAGGACTCGCGTGCGAATGTGAAACCCCAAAGGGAAAAAGTGAAGACGCTGAGGCAGTGATGCTATCAGGTCATTTGAAGATGAGAGGTTAGATACCAAAGCTTGGAGGTGCTGGGAGGAAACCATCCAGAGAGGCTGTAGATTTCTTTGAGCCTGTATCACTCAAATACTGCAGAGCAGAACTGACAGACCCTGTGATAATTCTTAGATGAGATATCAAACTGACATTCAAGCCATCAGATATTAACAAGGCAAGAACACACTTTGGAATTGAAATGCTGCACAAACTTAGTAAATTCCCAAATTGCTCCACTTATTATTTAGTATCTAATAAACGTTGTTATGTATCGACTGTGTCCTTTCAGGTGCAATGTAAGTAAATCAAGTCATTTACTTAACAGAAGCAGCTTTTTAAAAACAAAGAAAGAAACAAATGCATCCACCAAAGGAAATACTCAGTGGGCTAATGAATTGATAAGATATAGAAGTCTCAGTGATTATCTTTATATCTCAGTTTTGCAGAATCATGAGTTTGGAACCTTAACAACTTCTCTGTCTTGGAGCATAATTGCACCTAAGCACCTTCAAGCATCTCGTCCTAATTTCTTAAACTTCCATCTTCTAGTAATTTCAAACTTACAGAAAAATTGCTGCAAGAATCATACAAAGAACTAGTTCACCAATTCACTCTTCATCCAGGTTCACCAATTGTTAACGTTTTGCTCCATTTGCTTTATAATTCTCTTTCTTCATGGACATACATATATTGTGATATTCCTATATTTTAAACCTGAAGAAAAGCCATTGTCATAAGTTGGGCTCCCCAGGAAACAGATCCCAAGGCTCAAATTTGTTTTTGTTTTAAGATTATTTATTTATTTATTCATGAGACACACACACACACACACACACACAGAGAGAGAGAGAGAGAGAGAGAGAGAGAGAGAGAGAGAGAGAGAGGCAGAGACACAGGCAGAGGGAGAAGCAGGCTCCATGCAGGGAGCCTGATGTGGGACTCGATCCCGGGACTCCAGTATCACGCCCCGGGCGGAAGGCAGGTGCTTAGCCACTGAGCCTCCCAGGGATCCCCCAAGGCTCAAATTTGTGAGGGAGATTCATTAGGGGGTACTCTTTGTAACAGGACCCGTGAGGTGCTTAGAAGTCAGTTCTGGGCCAAGGGAGAAACCCATCTGTAATGTGGCCATGATACT